GCCGTACCCGCTCTCCGTTAGGGCGCGCTCTGTCCTGACCCTGCTGTACCCGCTCTCCGTTAGGGCGCGCTCTGTCCTGACCCTGCTGTACCCGCTCTCCGTTAGGGCGCGCTCTGTCCTGACCCTGCTGTACCCGCTGTCCATTTGACACAGTGCTTCAGTGAAATGTTGACATTGTTCTCTGCCTGCGTACAGAAGCTGAATAAACTGTCCTGTAAGAATATTATTCGCTAAGCCATTAGCCGAGCCTTCAGCCCTGTTTAAGCTCTTTGTAAAAGCTCACAATTGCTTCATTGGTTATCTTGGCAGGTGTCGTTTGGTTCTTGGTCCAGTTCACTTTGTTTTTTTGATGGACAGTTGTGGAATCATGTATTGACACTGGCTGCAGTCCTGTCTGGTGCAATTCTTTTGAGTAATGATTTAATGCGGCTTTTGAAACACTAGAAAGTTATGGATTTCTCTGCAGAGTTGAGTGTATTTGTGCCGAAGCCGTGCTTCGCTGTTGTAACTTCGAGAGGTCCTTGGCTCTCGCGCCCAAGCCCTGGGTGACCCAGATGGGGCCAGGAAACCCATCAAGCCCCCTCCCCATTAACACGCCGACTGGCGCCTGGCCCTCTGCTCTGGTAAAAGCGATTAATCTCTTAGCTAGAGCCTTCCATCTTTGTCTATTTTCCTTCACTGAATTTTCTTAATGGGGCGAGGGATCACTCGCGTGCGGTGGGAAGAGCAGGTGGTCTCCTGCTTGGGGCTTCCCGCTCGGGGCTTCCCCTTCTCCTCAGGTCTCTCGCGTGAGGCCAGACCTGGGGCTTCTGCTACTTGTCGCTGGAGCATCTTTCATTGATTGGTACCGGTTGTAGAAGCTACATTTGTGATTCTCCTGCCCTAACAGATACTGCCTTCAGCATAAGATGAACAGGAGGTTTTATGCTCTATTATTCTATGATGGAAGTTATTAGGTATGTTCATTACAGAAGCATGTGGTGAATAGCTGTCCCATGAGAGGCTGCATCTGATGCCCCCAACCCCCCCTTCCAGTGTGCCCAGACAGGTGTGAGCGGCGTGCATGCACCCCCATGGGCGAGTGCTGCCACCCGCAGTGCCTGGGCAGCTGCACGGTGCCCGACAGTGACACGTCCTGCGCCGCCTGCCTGCACTACTTCCACGAGGACCGCTGCGTTCCCGACTGCCCCGCCGGCACCTACAGGTTCGAGGGCTGGCGCTGCATCAGCATGGAGATGTGCACCCAGGTGCACCTGCACAACGAGTTTGACGCCTTCGTCATCCATGGTGGCGAGTGCGTGCCCGACTGCCCCGTGGGCTTCACGCGCAACGGCAGCGACAGGTGAGCTGCGTGCGTAATGTCCGCATCCCGCATAGGGACGGGAAGCCGAGGCCGGCACTGCAACGGCACTGCAACGGCACTGCAGGTCAGCCTCAATGCAGTTCATGATGTGATCAAAATGAACATGAATGGTAGTTGATTAATTTGACATTCACTGGATTTTTAGTGTAGAAAAAAACCAGACACATCCCTGCCTTTTCTTTAAAGTGGGCAGATCTACAGGATGCTGGGATTGGAGGCTGGAAAAGGGGCGGGGTAAATACGACCACTTGCAATCGGGCAGGAAAGCGACATGTGGCCGACACATGTGGAGGAGGCTTGCAGAGCTGCGCCGTCTCTCTCTGACACGCGAGACGGACTCCAGGAGCTTAAATCAGTTACTGGGTCGATAGCAGATGAATAGAGGCATTTCCCCGAAAAACATCCACACTCTACACACAGTAACATACATTGAACCGGACACATGTCACACGTCAGAATGGTGAAGTAACATGTTGGTGGGGGTTCGGACCCTGTAGAAGGTGATCTGTCCCTCCCCAGAAAAGCAGTATTAAAACCACCACCCCAGGTCGTTAGTGACTTTTGTGTATTGGTGTTAGCGGGGGGTCCTAACTGTTTTGCTTGTATTTGGGGGTCTCTGGCTTAAGAATAGTTGAATACTCCTCTTTATTTCAGTTTTTGAAGAAGTGGGCCATGGGAAGACTTTTTTTGTATTTGATTAACTGCTGTATTTCCTGCAAAAGCCCTGTTTGTCCTGGAACTTGTTTGTAAAAGCTGAAACTGTATGTGAGGCTTTCGAGCTGTTTCCAGTGGAGTGGGGTCATGGGGTCCATGCTGAAGCCAGGCAATGCGTGACCGCCCCCTGCTGTCCACAGTGTGTTCTGCACCCCCTGCCACGGGCTCTGCGATAAGGTCTGTGATGGGAAGGTCATCGATTCCGTGGATTCCGCCCAGCTGCTCAAGGACTGCACACTCATTAAGGGCAACCTTCACATCAACATCCGCCGGGGAAGTAAGTGCCCCCCCCCGCCCGCCTTCCAGCTGCCCTGGAAAGTAAATACGGATACTGGGCCTTTTGTGTTGTCATTATGGTCTGTCAGCTCAAGGTCTGTCAGTACTCAGCCCTGAGTAAGAGTTCAAACTGTCCCCTACATAAGCTGTTTGATGCTCATACAGCTCCTTGCAATAGCTGTATTTCATTTTTAATGTAATGTTTAATTGAGTGCTAGAAGTACCTTTTATATATTTTTATCGAAACCTATTTTGTTACACGCGTTGTAGAGACAGTATTTCATTTAAAGACCCGGCAGCCTGATCCGTTTTGGGATCTTCACTGATTGGTTGCATTGGCCTGCTGCCCCGCCCCTTGCAGACAACATCGCGTCGGAGCTGGAGAGTTTCATGGGACGGATCCAGACGGTGACGGGCAGCGTGAGGATCCGACACTCGCACACGCTGAGCTCCCTGTCCTTCTTCAAGAGCCTGCGCTATATCAACGGCGAGGACTTGGTTGACGGGTAGGCGGGGCCAGGCGGGGCGGGGCGGGGCATGGCAGGGAAGATGGGGAGGGGTCGGGCACTCTGGGGAGGGAAATACTAGTTGAAGGGGGTGTAGGGTGGGGGCTTTGTGTTTCAAGTGGGACATCATCTTCGGAGGTCAAACAGCTACATGTGATGCCATCCTTAAGGGGAATAGGGCTTCACCTGCACAGTGTCACAATGGGTCTGGTGAGATAGAGGAGGTGAAGATGGTGGCCTTATCAGCATTCGCTCACAGCATGTGGCTCTGCGCGCCAGCACGCTGCCCCTGTAATTGGAAGGTCGCCAGTTCAAATCCCCTTAAACCCCAGCCCCGGGGGGTGCTGCACACTGACTGACCCTGTGCTGTGACCCTCAAGTTTGGGAAAGCGAAAAGAGATTTTCCCCATGGGCATTAATACTAATACAGTATTAAGGAATACAAAGTTAAAATGTTGTTGGGTGTCTTTTCAGGCTGTTTTTTTTTTATCCGTCAGATTGACTTTCTGTCCACAATACAAACATGTGAATGTGGGAATTTACTTCATGCCTTTTGCAGACGAGTGTTTCCTTGGCGACGTGCTTCAGGAATGCCATTTTGGTGTGTTTCGGGCTTCTCTGCCAGATGAGGAGAGCATGGCTGCAGAATTGGCGCTAATGGGCTTTTGGGTTTAGCTAGTTGTGCCTAATTTGTAATCTGCCTGAGCGGTCTGACTGTTAGGGGACCTGGAATTAAAAGAGTCGGTCTCCGTGCAAATTCAGCGATCACGGGCAGAAGGTGAATTCCTGTAACCAAGGAAACTAATCGCCCTGGCAATCCTCACCAGCATGAGGCATGCTGTCCTGTCCCACAGGATGGGGGAGGACACCGGCCACGTTTGACGGCCCAGAATGCCATGGGGTGGGGGGGGGGGCTCCCTGGGTAACCCTGCTGCAGCACTGGCCACAATTCCCTTTGTTTCTGCTTTGGACTTCCTGTTAATTACGAGCACATAGTTATATAAAAGGCTTTAATGTCTGTCCTGGCAAAGGAGCGTCCCTTCGTCTCGTGCTTCGTGGTGCTTCGTGGTGCTTCGTCTCGTGCTTCGTGGTGCTTCGTCTCGTGCTTCGTGGTGCTTCGTCTCGTGCTTCGTGGTGCTTCGTGGTGCTTCCGTGTCATCGCCTGACACAGCTAGCGTGTGCTCTCTTCCCTCGTAGACTGTATTCCTTCTCGGCGCTGGATAACCAGAACCTGCAGTACCTGTGGGACTGGTCCCAGCACAACCTGACCATCAAAGCGGGGAGGCTCTCCTTCCGCTTCAACCCCAAGCTGTGCATGTCGGAGATCCGCAAGATGTGGGACAAGGCGGGTATCGGGGAGAAGTTCCAGGAGGACGACTTCCGCAATAACGGCGACAGGGCCAGCTGTGAGCAGACCCCAGCCCCTCGCTGGCCAGTCCGTCCTTCCTGCTCTCTGTCCTCTCATGTTTTCTGTTCCTTGGCTCTCAGAGTGAGAGCAGCCTCCTAGCAGAGGCCAAATGGACAGCGGTAATAGGGGAGGTCATCTGGTTGGGTTTTCGTAGAATATAATTGTTCTAGGGTCCTGAAATTGGAAATTAACAGTCACTGGGTTTGTCCCCATCCCTAGGGTCGGTAATGAGGACCCTGTTTTGTTCACATTCTGGTTCCTGGTACTGTTCCTACCCCAGCCAAGGGCATCTGCCTACCGTCTTCCTTCCCTCCGCCGGTAGTGGTTCCCTCCAGGGTTGTGTGGGTCTGAGGTGGCTGTATCAGTTACCGTCAGCTACCAACACTATCAAATAGCAACAATACTCTCTTAGTTAATAGTACTAATAGCTCGATCCTGCTAGCTCACCCAACACCACTGAGCTAGCTAACGTTAGCGCTCAGCCGACGAGGACGCCATTGATGTTTACACCAGGTCACAATTTCAGGAGCACCCCGGCGCTAACTTTGGCGTAGTGATACGGTTGGGGTGTGGAGTTCCGTAGAAAGAAAATAGCTCCTAAATGAAACTGCTCACTATAAGGTCTGTGGATTATCTTGTGTAACTGGGTCATGATTTTTAGTAAGAGACATTACTGTTGAATGTAATTGTATTATTTGGCATTTTAGCACCACAGAAAGTACGCTAACATTATATTCAAATGAAGAACAATATCTCCAAAACTACACAACTCTCACAACAACAGTCTAGATGGATAAATAGCCCTGCAACATATCTGAGGAATATGTTTTTTGGATTTTGGGGTGAATCGCCCCTTTAAAGTCGGCCAGCTGGCAGTAGGTATCTAAGCAGTTCCTGTCTCGCAGGCGAGAGCTACATCCTGAAGTTCACGTCCAACAGCACCACCAGCAGCCGCATCAAACTGACGTGGGAGCGGTACCGGCCGCCGGACTATCGGGACCTCATCAGCTTCATCGTGTACTACAAGGAAGCGTAAGTGCGCTCTCTCTGGATTTCAGATATTTAAGGAGGTGGTCTCGTGTTGTAATGCCTCTGCCCTTAATGAATGTTCCAGGTTCACTTGTATTTGGTAAGCAGTGGTGATTATGTATCTTGCCCTTATAGCTGGAGTTATATTGGTGATGATGGGTCTTTGTGGGCCCTTCTGCCCGGGTCACACGTGGATGATCGGCATTCTGGGCCTTTCCTCCACCGGCAAATAAAAGCCCTTTTGTTTACGATTTGTGTTTGGCTGCCTTGCCGGATGCTCTTGCCACGTGCCAGTCGTCCGCTCGCTCACCGGGCTCACTCTGCCATATGGAAGCACTCTCGCTAAGCAAGCAGTGATACGTAAACCCTGAGAAGGCAGATAGTAGCGGGGAATTTGCAGTGACCCATAGACGTCCCAGACAGGTGTCTCTGCATGCCAGTGTTTCCTGGAGCTGACCGTGCTCTCCATGTGCACTGCAGGCCCTTGCAGGACATCACAGAGTTCGACGGTCAGGATGGATGCGGGTCCAACAGCTGGAACATGGTGGACGTGGAGCTGCCTCATGATAAGGACGTGGACCCAGGGGTCATGCTGTCATCGCTAAAGCCGTGGACACAGTACGCCATTCTTGTGAAAGCGGTCACCTTGGTTGTCGACGACCGGCACGTTCTGGGAGCCAAGAGCGAGGTGGTCTACATCCGCACCAAGCCGTCCGGTAAGAACCACGTCGTCATTGCAGTGCTGCTCAGTCTGCCTTTGAGTGTGACACTGCAGGCCCCGCGGCTGACCGGGCCGCACCATGATCTTTCGTGTACGCAGAGCCTTCCATGCCTCTGGATGTCCGCTCCTACTCCAACTCCTCCTCAAAGCTGCTGGTGAAGTGGTCCCCTCCCATCTCCCCCAACGGGAACCACACCTATTACTTGGTCCGCTGGCAGCAGCAACCCGAAGACCGGGAGCTCTATGTGCACAACTACTGCTCTAAAGGTGGGTAGCAGTCGCTGACTGCGAGCGGCAAGCTGGGCTTGTGCAGCAAACGTGGGGAACTGAATGGAACCGAATGGAACCGAAGAAACGGTCCAGCTCTAACAGCCAAGTCTGTGCTTGGCCTTTTTTGTGGGCAGTGGTGGCTTATTGGTTAGGGAAGCACACTTCTAATTGAAAGATTGCAGGTTCGAATCCCTGAGCAAGGCACCACTGGGGTACCCTGAGCAAGGTACCACCCCCAAGTACTGCTCCCCGGGCGCTGAATTAGCTCCACATATGGGTTAAATGCAGAGGACGCATTTCATTGTTGTGCACTGTGTGCCGTGGTGTGTCAACAATGACCACTGATCACTAAATTCTAATTCTAAATTGTTTTCTTTTCCGGAGGCTCTGAAAGTGAGCTGCTTTAAGGATGGGCGTACACTGACCATTTGCAAGGGTTTAATTTTGCTGTTGTTTCTTGTGATTTGCAGAGTTGAAGGTCCCCATCAGGATATCTGCCACGGGAGTGGTCGACATGGAGAATGACACCAAGCCCACCAAATCGGATCCGGGGGGTGGGGACAAGGGCCCGTGTTGCCTGTGCCCCAAAACCGTGGAGGACCTAAAGGCTGAGGCAGAGGACGCCTCGTACAGGAAGGTCTTTGAAAACTTCCTGCACAACTCCATTTTCACCCCCAGGTACAAACATTTGAGATAAATTAACCTGTTTTCCCAGAATAATAGTTCTAAGACTGTGTTTCCCAGCTCACTCCTTGGCTACCCACATGAGCTCCGCATTTTTGCTCCTGCCCAGTTCCCTGCCAGAACTGGGAGGGAGCAAAAACGTGGACGGTCTGGGGGGTCCCCAAGGACCGGATTGGGAAACACTGGTCTAAGAGATCATGCACTTATACATGTTTGTTTTCTGAATTGGATAAAAATAGGGAGTTGCACTGTAGGCATTTTGGTCTGAGGTGTGTCTATGACTGAAATGAGAGAGGATTCACACGAGTTGTCGGTCGGGAATCCTGGGGCAGCTGTGGAGGTTTGTATCTCCCTTACGCTTGTCAGACCTGCCGTCATCTGACTGCAGTGGCATGCTGATAGCCCCAGGGGGCGAGGGGCATGCCTCTCGGAGGCCTGTGGACAGCCCTCTGCGGAGTGGAGGCCTTTGTACACTGGGCACTGTAACCATGGATGTCTCTGCATTGAACGCTGCCCCTCAACCTTTACCGAAGCACATATACAGGATGAAGCAGCTGTTTACAGGGTGAATCAGGCCTGATTTAGGGCCAACTGGGGACAAAGTAGGGGGCTTCTCTGTCCTGCTGTCCCGTTAGACCTGTGGTGGGTTTTCAGCTGCTCTGGTTTCATCCTGGCAGATTGCAAAATCCCCCCCCTTGATGTTGGAACACAAGTAGCAACTTTTTTTGTTCCTGGAAAGAAAACGGCGATGGACTGTGATCCTATTGGAGAGTGTTGGATCTTTCCATTGTCTGGTTTTTGGTCTTTGGGTGGCTGGGGGGTGGGTGAGGGGGTGGCTTCAGCGCAGTGGCTTAGGGGGGACGGTCTGTGCCAGAAATCTGTCAGGCCTGCTTTGGCCGGGGGGTCCGGGGGCGTCCGGCTTTACGGGAAAGTGGGGCATCTGAGGCGATCGCCCTCGAGTTTCTGAAAAGCTGGAGCGGGGGACTTCGAGGAGGAGCAGGGGAGGGGGGAGAAAATAAACTGAATGAAGAGGAAATGTTTTCCATCACCCCCTCCCCCCCCCCCCCCCCCCACCTCCACACACGCTCTCTTTGTCTGGGCTGTTGTTTGGAGTGACCGGCTGCCAGGGAATGTACAGCAGATCCATCTGGAATACTAATGGAATAAAAGGAGTATCCTGGAGGCCTGGAAGGAGCAGAGGCCTCCTCTGTCCCGCTCCGCCGCTTGGACCTGGGACTCCACATCTTCCTCCCTGCAGCATCTCTCTCAGAAGTATCTGCTTCTGCATCCGATACATACATTACATGATGGCTTCTGGCGCTGCTTGTAGGCCTGGACACTCAGCCCCAACCCCCCCCCCCCCCCCAGCCAGACAAACGCCCCTGTTTCATCTCCTGCACCAAACATCGCTGAGGAAAAGCCTCAGGCAGCCTTCGGTGAGTGTGTGGGGGGGGGGCACGGGAGACAACAGAGCTGTAGACATCGCTCACCAAGGGAAGGGGGGGGGGGGCGTGCAGCCCTGTCTGGGTCACCCGAGGATACGGCTACTTCGCGGACCGCCGCCGCTGTCTCTGTCTCCTTCCCCCTCCCTCACCGCCAGCTCCCTCAGCCTCTCCTGCTCTTGCCCTGCTGTGCTGATGTGCTTCCCACAGCGCGCTGTTCCAGGAAGACGCGGGCGAGGCTAGGGGCCGACTCGGGGCATTAAGGTGCCTTCGTTTGTCGGAAGGGACCTGGCAGGCCGGTCTGTTCTTGGATGGGCTGTGTGCTTTTTCAGCTGAAATCCACAGCCTTCCTGAGACAGCAGTATCTCCCCGGTTGTTGGTTATCGGTGCTGTTTCCGACACGTGGGTTTTGTCCTCTTTGAAGCGCTTTGAGTTATTGGTCGCGGTGTTCTGGGGTGGACGGCGTCCTCTCCATCCTGGCCCCGCCCTCTCCATCCTGGCCCCGCCCTCTCCATCCTGGCCCCGCCCTCTCCATCCTGCCCCCGCCCACATGCCTGGAAGCTGTCGTCGCCTTTGTCTGGCGTCATGCTGCCCTGCTGTTATGTTCGGCCTGTCTGGATGTCGAAACGCCAGGCCTCCATCCTGTCCTTATACACGCTGTGGGTGTCACACGCCATCCTCATGGCTCTGTGAGTTTCACCCTCACACCCCAGACTCTGCTGAACATGGGGGGGGGGGGGGGTCAGTAGTATGTTCAGTCTCTTTGGCGTGTGGCAGTGGGCTGTATCTGTATGTCCGTGTTGTGTGTGGTCAGGGTCCCGCGTCGTTCTGGGCCTCGACTTACAGAAAATCTGTGTTTTGGGGCGGAGGAGAAATCCCTTCCTGGCCAAATAGGAAGGAGTAGCTTGTTTGCGACTGAGAGTCCCCTGGGAGTCGTGTATGTCCCTGTACAAGGACACCTGCTCTGTGGGTGTGTGTTCGCTGTGGCCGGACCGGCTCCAGAGCTCTGTGTCTGCTGCCTGACTCTGTCCCTCATGTCCGTCTCCTAGCGACAAGCAAAATCTGAGAGAGGCCGGAGCCTGAGTGTCACAGCACAGCTGTCAGTCTCCTGTGTGCCATCCAATCAGATCGCTTCCCCACTGGTCACTATCCCCTCTGTCTCTGCAGGCCACCTGACCGGCGGCGGAGGGAGCTGTTCGGCACTGCCAATGGCACAGTGACCCACGCGGCCAGCGAGAACGCCACGGGTGTGGGGGCGGGACTGAATGGCACGTGGGCAGACCTGGCAGAGCAGGAGTACGATTTCCATGAAAAGGTGGTTAATGACCGCAAGTGGATGGAGATTTCCGGCCTGCAGGCCTTCACCGTCTACCGGATCGACGTGCACGCCTGCAACCGTGAGGTCAAGCACTGCAGTGCCGCTGCCTTCGTCTTCGCCAGGACCAAGCCAGAGGGTGAGCGCGTCTCTGCGGGCAGTCAGCAGCTCATGTCCAGCAGATCACTGCTCCAGTTATCAGACCGATGTAGGCCTCCCTCGCAGCACTGGGGGCTGGAGAGCCGAACCAGCACTGGAAGCTAGTGGCTTAATTGTTGATTCAGATGCCTGAACTGGTGCTGCTCTTAATGGGAGTAATTCAGATGGTGTCAGGAAGAGGGTGTGCGCAGTGTGGTTGCTGACAGGGCCCACCTTTTCATCGTCAGACAAAGCGGACGACATCCCAGGCCCTGTGAGCTGGGAGGGGGGCGAGGGGGGCGCAGACAGCGTCGTCCTAAAGTGGCCCCATCCCTCGAAGCCCAACGGGCTCATCCTGATGTACGAGATCAAGTTCCGCCTGGGGCAGGAGGTGAGCCCCGGGAATCTCCCATTCTGGGGACAGAGGGAGGACATGAGCCCCGCCTGAGCTGCCCCCCCCCCCCCCCCCCCCCCCCCCCCCCCCCCCCCCCCCCC